TTGACATTTAAAGTGACACTTATCAAAACTCGTTGACGTTATCAAATGCCTTACTTTTCATCACCAGTTACGAAAAGTAAAATTTTTCGCAATTGGTGATGAAAATTAAATTTCACCATTTGCAAAAAATACAGGAACAAAATCTGTGATACTTTTGGGGCTGGTCTACTTGAAGTACTTTGTTGTTATTATATTCCTTGTACGTATACATATTATGGAGATTTAATTTTGTTCAAATAATCAAATTAGTTACATAATATGACAATGTATAGAAAAAAAATTAATCTATATATATAAAAATGAATGCCACTTTTCGTTGTAATTTTATAACTCAAGAACGGACTCACCTAGCCAAACCAAATGTTTAGGATTTGTTCGGACTATTTATTAGATGGTTTATGTGAAGTTTGCACAAAATCGGTCGAGCGGTTCTTCATTTATCACATTTTTTGTAATAAATTAATTATTCAATAAATGGATCATCATTTTGCTGTCAAATTCAAACTTTTTTCAGCGTTGATAGTACCAGCATGTTGTCATGTCATTAATCTGGTCATTTCATTACTTATTTTATTTATTTATGAAAAAAACTTACTAAGCCCGCATACGGCGCCATGTCTTATAACCGATACCAAGTTTATTTTGTATTTTGTATACCGCGCCATCTCTGATACCTGGAACGAAGCTCGGCATTGCAGATACAGTAGAACAATGCTGCACAGAACTATTCCACTATTCCGATCAGATAGAGTGGTGCAGAAAGAGTAGGTCAGATAGAGTAGTGCAGATAGAGTAGAACAGATGGAGTAGTGCAGTGCATGCAGTGCATGCAGTGCAGATAGAGTGAAATAGGGCTGCGCTAGAGATTTTTTTTTGTTTTCTTTAGATTCTTTGAACATTCCTGTGCCTGAGTTTATTTATTCGGTGGTACACTTTACAAGAATAATGCCCACAAGCTGCCTAAAAAAGGATGATGTAAAATTTTAATTTTAGGTGCCTTCTGATCCAGAGAGTAAACATTAATTTTCTTCAACCAAAGCCAAATTCACCATCGAAAAAAACTGAATTTAATTCAGCTAATAGATACGTTAACACAACATTTAATAGGTATATTTAATAATTCAGAGGCGGTACGAAGTTCGCCGGGTCAGCTAGTTATTTATAAATAATAATAAATTAAATGACTAAACTGAATTTTTTTTCTATGGAAGTCTCTCCAAGGATGTTGGTGAAAATTTTCTGTTTATTATAGTTATGGAATTTTCCACATAGACTTAGCGGCTGTATTAGACTTCCACCACAGTTTAACAATACTGGCTTTTATAGCAACGGAATAGGAAACCTCTCTGAACTTACTTGACGGTTTAGAAATAATTATATGTAGAAGGGACATTTGAATTTGAATGGATCAGATCCTAATATACAAAATTAGAAAAAATATTGTGTGAAACATGTTGGGAAACACTATTTTTCGTAACTCGCTTTCTTTTGCGGAACTCGCTCCGCTCGTTCCGCAGAAATCTGCTCGTTACGAAAAATAGTGCTTTTCCCAACTGGTTGCACTTTTTCTATTTTGGTGTCATATCGAAGTCTTTTCGACACTAAAAGTAGTTTCGAAAAGAAGCTCTTTGTGACACTCCTTTTTTACTTATCGGAGGTTGGTAACACTGGCTGACTGATGGCCATCGAACTGTCATTCGCGATAAAAAATAATAGATTTCTATATTTGGCATGTAGTGTTGCCAACCTAAACATATGAAATCAGGAAATATGAGAATAAAATTTCCAAGAAGACTTTGTTTTTTTCAATTAAACAAAACCAAAATAGAAAAAATAGTATAAAATATTCGTTTCATAAGACATTTTATCGCACTCGCCCTTTAGAAAACTCGCCTCCGGCTAATATAGGGCTCGTGCGATAAAATGACGTCTTATGAAACTTGTATTTTAATCTACTAATTTAACTCACTCTCGGCATTTTAAGTCACTCTGCCCAACTAAAAATCTGACACCTCAGTGATTTAAAATATTTATTACTGATGATACTCTAGGTGGTGATGGCATATAGCTTACAGTTTCACAAGACAAAGAACTTTTCTTTGTTTTGTGGGCAATTTGTCGAATATCGTCCATCGAATGGGGAAGGTTTGGAGTACGTAAAAAATGGTACATTCTTGAGACTCCTGGATGAAACAAATCTTGATGAAGTTGAAAAAGTCTGCTTGTGTTACTTGCTCCGCAAATTCTCAAAATATTTTCATGCCCGCGGGACAGTAAATAATGTAATAATAGTAGCAAGACAATTCCAATCGCCACATGATTTTTTCATTCTTAATTTCATTCGAATGCTTGGAATGGAACATAAATGAAACAGCTTCTTGATCAGTTATAAGTTTAAAGTGACGTCCTAAAAGGTAATGTCTCCATTTCCGCAAAGCTTCAACAATAGCAGAAACTTCTTTTTTCGATTGATGCGTGTCTTCGTTCACTTAGATAAAGTTTTTGAAAAAAAAAACGCTACTGGTCTTTCTGCTTGGCTAAAGTATAGCAGCAATGGCGAAATTAGACGCATCAGTTTCAACTACCTGGATATCTGTCTCATTTATAGACCAGATGAGAGAATTAGCTTTATCAACTTTGATATTTTCAAAATCTTTTACGTGCACTTTTCTTTATTCAGTGTCAAATTGTATTTCTCAACCGATCGCATGAAGTTCTGAAGATTTAAGTCATGATTTTCTTGATCCATTCCACAAATTGTCACATCATCCGGCAAATAAGCAAATACAGCTTTCAAATGCTCTTTCTCAATTATATCGTCAATAACCCTTTGAAATCCAGATACTCCATTCGTTACTCCAAAAGGAATACATCAAAACTGATAAAGTCGTCCACCTGGACCACCTGCTTCGAATGCTGTAAAAAGTTTGTCATCATTATGTATTGGAATCTGATGATACGTACTTTTTAAATCAATCGTACAGAAGACTTGAAATTTTGCGACTTTGGGAACGATTGGTCTCAATATTTGGTAATGCATCTAGCCGTGTATACTTATTAACAGTTTGAGAATAGTCCACTACCATTCTGCGTTTATGATTTTCGTTTCTTGTAGCCAAAACTTGAGCACGCCAAGGTGAAATACTGCTTTCAATAATTTCTTCTTGAAGTAGTCTCTCAATTTCCGCCTGAATGAAGAATCTTCTGAATGACAACGAGACTTTGTAGCAATTGGTTTGCAGTCTTTTGATAAATTGGAAAATATTGAAAGAGGTTCTACTTTAGCTTGAATAAGGCAGCAAATTGATAAATTAGGTTTTGACCCACCAAAGAACATCATTACATCCTGTCCAATTATAACATCAGTACACAGTTTTGGCGGGACAGAAAGCTTTAAATTAGGATATCTATGAATAGTTGGAAATTAACCAAACAAAATCATTTTATATCGGAAGAACAAAGAAGTTGAAGCCATACAACAAATGCAGTTGATTTTTGATTCTACTAAAGCTTTGGATATATGCCCTGGGGAAATGAAACTGAAGCGATTGACGCAGAGGCTGTAGTCGATTTACTTTTAGAATTTAGTTTCATACATACTCGCGAGAAATGACCTGGTTTCTTACAATATGAACACACTTGATCTCTAGCGGGACAGATGGTTCGTATGTGCCTGTTATTTCCACAAAAATAGCATTGCTGCGATGTATCGCCAACTAACTGCAGCAGACGATACTTCTGATTGTTTTTGTAGATTCTCTCTCATTGACAATTTTGGAATTTACCGCATTCAGTACTTGGTAGTTAGCACCATATGATTCAGAGTGTTTTCTAGCATCTTCAAGAGCTCTTGACAGGGCAACAGTTTCATCAAGTGTTAAGGTATTTCTTTCGAGAAGACGTTGTCGTATTTCGTTTTATATTAGTCCATTAATAAAAGAATCTTTAATGAAATCATTCTTAGAAAAGTCAAGATTTTTGAAAATAAATTTTCAAAATCAAAGAAATTCTAGACAGTGTGTCAAATCAAAGATTTTTGAAATTTCTTTGGAAAACACAAGTGTTTTTACCAAAGCTTCAACACACTATTAATTACTCATATACTATGAAGTTGTATTACTCTGACACGGTCAGATTTATGTAATACGGAGTGGCTTTGCTATTATAAGACAATGGAGGAATCCGAATTCTCAATAATATTGCACTAATGAGAGCATAACAAGCTCGAAACCGGTCTGCAATTGGTGGTGTGCCCAATGATTGAGAATTCGTGTTTCTCCATTGTCTTATATAATAGCAAAAGCGCTCGAATTACATAAATCTGACCGTGTCAGAGTAATACAAACTCATAGTATGAGTGATTATCAGTTTATTGAAGCTTTGGTAAAAACACTTGTGTTTTCCAAAGAAATTTCAAAAATCTTTGATTTGACTCACTGTCTAGAATTTCTTTGATTTTGAAAATTTATTTTAAAAAATCTGTATTTTTCTAATTCCAGGCCCAATTGGGTCGTTTTCGGTATTTGCTTTAAAAACACTTGTGTTTTCCAAAGAAATTTCAAAGATCTTTGAAATTATTCTATTTTCTGATGCAGTCACTGCTTTAAAATTACATTTCTTGCTTAACATTCTTAAAATTTGGTGGATGTTTCCACTAACCTGCTGTTTTCTTGGAGTCAGTAAATAGACGCGGGAAATATAGGGACAATGGAAATACTGAACTTTATAAAAACCATGCATTGGCACAAAACGAAGAAAGGAGAAACAGGTTAAAAATTTGGGAGGAAACCACCCTGTAGAAGAGAACACAATGAGCCGATGGGCCTCCGAGTGGTGCAAGCTCTACAGTATTTAGCTCAACTGTCCTAGCTAACTGACTTTTCTGGATCATGGAACATCCTCATATTGATGTTATTTTGTATTTTGTATGGTCGTTGAATGAACCTCAGTTATCTATCATCTCTGACCAAATGTAATAATTTTCAAGAAAAACATTTCAGAAACACTATCGTTTATCCTACAGGAAATATCTATATGCGCGATGGCTTTTTTATTTTCAGAGTACGGCCACTGAGTAAAAAAGAGAATTTTCAGTCAGAAGTCGTTCAATTTCCCGGCAATGGACAAATTTTGGTGAGTAGTTTCTCATCCAAAACTAAGTTTTCCTTTACCGTAACACAATTTTTTTTTTCAGATAGATGCGATACCCGGTGGACCGGGTGGTGGCCAGAAGCCGAAACTATTCTCCTACAATGTAGTATTTGAACCGGCAGCTACACAGGAAGATGTTTTACAATTTTCAGGTACCTTACTTAAGATATTATTTGGAATTTGGCTTACATTGTCAATTTCAGGAATGAAACGATTAATTGAAATGGCAGTTGAAGGATTTCGATGCACCTGTTTTTGTTACGGACAAACTGGAAGTGGAAAGACGCATACCTTAACAGGACCACCAGGATTGGTGAGGCAGTTTGTTTTTGACAATAAAATACAAATTGTAACTTGACTAGTGGAAAGTTTTATTTTTATTTTCATTGGAACCCAACTTATTGAAATATTCACCTCATTGTAACATTTTTAGTTTGGTGTTAAATCAGTTCCATATAGCGACAAGCATGGATTAATTTTTCGCTCATTTGCATACCTATTTGAACAAATCCAATTACAGGCTGGTACGCATTTTGTGCTTAAAGCTAGTTATTTGGAGATTTATAATGAAAAAGTAAGTTATTTTTGCTAGAGTATACCTACTTATTGAATAAATAATAAGATATTTCATGATCATATTATATTAGGTGATAGACCTATTAAATCCAGGCTCTGCAAGAAAACCGTTAGCAGTCAGATGGAGCAAAAAAGCTCGAGGATTTTTTGTAGAAAATTTGTTCACCGTGGACTGTGAAGAGCTAGACGATCTTATGGCAGTTTTAGAAGAAGGAATGAGAAATAGGTCTGTCGGTAGACATAATATGAATGATTATTCAAGGTGAGGTACAAAAAATTTATATTTAATTAGCTAATCTATATAAACAAATTTCCAGTCGAAGTCACACAATACTTTCGGTCCACATAACTTCAGAACAACCAGCGGAAAATGGAGTATTTATTTCTAGAACTGGCAAAATTAATTTTGTTGACTTGGCTGGTAGTGAAATGACCAAAAAGACTCAAAGCCGGGGCAAAACTCTGGAAGAAGCCAATAATATTAATAAAAGTCTTATGGTATTAGGTAAGTATAGATAGGTATACATAAAATTTATTAAGGCCATAATAATTATATAGGCTAAGTGAATTATTTAAATAATATTAGGATCGATTTTATTTTGTTTAAAATTTATATTTTACTAAAAATTCAATGCCATGCCTGGGTTAATGGGTCATTGGTATTAGATGAAAATATATTGATAGCAAGGAGCTGAATACATTTTCTTTACAGTTTAATGATAAAGTTAGTCATTAAGAATGCAATGAAATCGAATTGTAATTTATTGATGAATCAAACATCAAGTTGTCAATAGCTTTAGCAGTAACAATAGCTCAAAGGTTGAGTAAACGATTTCTACCTGAATAGGTACAACGAAACAGTTGGGAGCTTTCAGTAAATATTTTACTAGAAAGAAATAATGTAATTGTTAAATGGCTAGATAATTAAATATCGAGTTAACCTATATGGTGATTATGGTGAATAATTTGTGATAATATTGACATAGGAAAGGAACGTATTTTATAGAGGGTACCTATACTTCTGAACGAAACAGCATTAACAAAAGCCATTATTATTTTTACTAATTAGGTAGGTACCGCTTTTTTCTATTCACTTTTGTCTTTTCTTCTTCGTTCTTTATTTAGATTTCGTGATTTTATTGTTAATTTGTAAGTACACTTATATTAGCTTTGTATTAGCAAAAAATCTCAAACATCAGAGTAATTAATGTTTTCAAATGTATCATTCGATTTGTCCTATAATTTTAGGGGAATAAAGGATGGGTACCCTGGATACTTATTTGTATACCTAGTACCACATCGCATATAATATATAATATATGTATGCCCAATATAATAGGTAGGTACCCTGTATATACGATGATTAACTCGTATATAATTTTCCAGGATACTGTATCTCATCTTTGAGCGATATCAAGAAAAAATCGAATCATATTCCATATAGAGATTCCAAACTGACTAAATTGTTAGCAGATTCCTTGGCTGGAAATGGAGTAACGTTGATGGTGAGTAATACAAAAGTGGAATTGTACTTCAATATTTCCTGGAAATAATTAAGTATCAGTTTCATTAGCTGACATATAAATTAGTAACACTAATTAAAAATTTTCTTTCAGATTGCATGCATATCACCAGCAAAATCCAATATATCTGAAACCATTAATACGCTCCGATATGCAGCTAGAGCCAAAAGAATTAGGACAAAACCAGTTGTCCTAATGGTAAGAGTATTGATTTTTTTTTTGTAAAATAATCTTTTTTTGAATGTTTTGCCAAAAATGGTCAATAGTTATTATATATTCGAATATATTCTAAAGGACCCTCGAGAAGCCCTAATTCTGAGTCTAAAACGTGAGGTCGGCGTGCTACAAAACGAGAATCAACATCTTCGAACCGCGTTGCACGTTTATTCTTCTTCAAATCCAACATCTGCTGATAAAAACCCGAATTCAAGTAAGTTTCGATTTTATGATAACTATTCCTTTATTCTGATAGTAGGTAGATAAAAATGCTAATGTTGTGATCCTTCAGTGTTTTGCCTTGGTTAAAACTACTTTTGTTTTTGGTTTGAAACTTGTAGCTTTATTAGGTAATGGAATATAGAATGAAATTGAACTACAGCAAAAGTAAGAATTATTTTAGAGAGAGTTTTAACAAAATGTGTTACTACGACTGAAGCTGTCTTAAGACTGTCTTCTTGCTTCACTAGATCTCTTACAAATCAACCTTTACATCCCTTCTAAAACGTTTCTAAAACCTACATAATTACAACTGGAAAACCCTAAATAAATATTGGCAATAAATGACAGTCTGTTCGCCCAAAGAATGACCATTAAGGATATTTGGGAATTTTGGGGTTTATGGTGGACAAATGTTTAATTTATTTACATACAATATCTTTGGGTTCTTTAACAGAAAGTCTGGGTCATATAATAATATTTCTTTCGGCGACGGCGAGACATTATTTGGGAATTTTGGGGTTTATGGTGGACAAATGTTTAATTTATTTACATACAATATCTTTGGGTTCTTTAACAGAAAGTCTGGGTCATATAATAGTATTGCTTTCGGCGACGGCGAGACATTATTTGGGAAAGTATTCGAGGGTCGTAAAAGGTACAATGTCATGATATTATGGAGGAATATGACACTTCCCCCCTTGAAAAAAAAGAAATTTTCATAAAGAAATTTCTTCAAAACAAATCCTTTAAGAAATACAATTATAAAAAACTAACGTAAAATAATATGAAGCTTAACTTAATATAGAGGTAGGAATAAAAAGGAGAGAGAAAAAAAAAATGTAAACTAACTTATACCTAAGAATATACAAACATATCTTTTACTAAGACATTTTTATGGACGGTCTTGGGGTGACTGATCTTCGCATGGACATGGAATTCGTAGTGGATGTGGTTGCTTCATTGGAACTTAGAAGGTTATTTAGTTCAATCCCTTCGCCCATTTTTGTTCTGGCTTCTTCTTCTAGAATTCTTGATATGTTTTGACTTGTCCCTGGAGTGGTATTTATATTTGTATTGAAAAGCTTAATACAGCAGGAATCCGATATGTGCTTTGGGCTTTTAGTACAACAAAACATACTTTTAATGCATGATATTAATCCGCACCACTTAAGAAAATTGTACACTATTACCAAAAGAACAACTGACGCGATAAAAGAAATAATGATAATGAACCAATGAGAGTGTTGAATAATAAATGGCTTCTTCAATTCTTCATCCAGCAATTGGTCCAGTTGTCCAAGTTTGTGATTCGCAAACTGTAAATCGTCCAATTTGATATTGGAAAGTCTTATTGGTTGTAGTGTGATTGGTGTGTTGTTGAATCTGGCTTCTTTGGCATAGCAGCAATCGTCAAGTGCAATATTGATATCTGAAATTTGTTTTGAAATATTCCGTGTAATGATTCCTGAGCTTTCCAAGATAATATTTTGAGTATAGCCTCTGCATTTGGGTTTCAAACTTAACAGCCCTGTTGATGCAATTTTTATATCTTCGATTGGAAAATTATCACAAGCCAGAGTAAGCTGTAAGGGCGTCGATAGTACGAAAAGCCAAGAGTTGTCGCTCAGTGGATGCCATATCTCGAAGTCTGCTTTGGAAGTAACGGTATGACAGTCAGCCGGGATTTTGGTAGAAAATGATGTAAACAATGCGACTTCGCACTTAGGAGGTTCTTGAATCCTTGTAGCTTGAGTGTTTTGGCTGATGAATTCCTCTTCTGTGATCCTTGTACACTTGGTAAGGTCTTTCATTTGCACATAACTAACCTTACTAATACTTATCAGCAGGTAAGGAAAATCCGGTAGGATATAGGAATGAATATCAGAAAAATTATGAGGTGTTGGAAGTGGCAATAATTTGAACAGATTGTAGGTCATTTCGTCAGTCAATGGAATTTCAATTGCAAAAATAATTATGTTATCAGAATGAAAAACTTTTAGTTTACTGATCTCAAAATATTTGTAAATAGTTGAATAAGATATTGGGAACGGTAATTGAAGTCCGTTGTTCAATTTGATTTCCGAAAGTACATTTAATAATTGTTTTGGTGTTATAACTTTCGGATGTAGGATATTATGTCTGGCCATTGTTATAGCTGAGATTAATAAATCATATTCTTCGTTCAGATCTTCTAATATTTGTGTGAGTAAGGCAATATGTGAACTGATGATAAGTTTCAGTTTGTTTACGTGAATACGTTTATTGGTATCTGCTGAGAAGGAGTTGAAAATTTTAATATTAGAGTTTAGAGTTTCTTGATTAGATTTAAGATTTCGTATACTAGAATTAAAATTAGATATCGTACTAGAAATTATGCCAATTTGTTGTTTCATCAAAAGTTGTGTATTTCTATTACTTTGAATTAGAGTTTTTATCGATTTGTCATAAAATTTAGCATCATCGGCATCAGGCATGCCAAATAGCCAATTGAATGCGTAAGAAGCACCATCAAAAATTCCTCTTTTAGTCTTTTTCGTATTAGTACCGATTATTTCGCTGACAACTTCAGATTTTCCGAGCAATTTATTAAACCGAAATTGGACGACTTTTATAGTATCTTTGCATAGAAAATTTTCAGATTCAACAATTTCATTACTATAACATAGATCGAATGACTTTTTCAATATTCCAGAAATAAATTTTATTTTCTTTTCATATCCAGTTACATTAAGAGGAGTAAATAGGACAAATTTAGAATTTGAAAGTTTAACTTGGCCAAGATTATTATAATAAAGGCCGGCATGATCGTGGAGATTAGTAATGTGATAATTATCGCCTCTAACACAAACGGAAATGGAAGTTAGTACAAGTAGGAACAGTAGATTAGCGTTATTAATCATTGTTGCTTTGATCTGAAACAAAAGGTTTTATCATATTAGTATGATACGTAATAATTTTTTTTCCTATTTGTAGTTGAATATTATTGTTATTGAAAACTTTAGTGACTTTATATGGGCCTTTAAAGTTAGGACTCAGTTTTTTATTTAGACCAGGGGAAATATGTTTATTTACAATGTAAACCATATCTCCTATTTTATAATGATTTTTTTTTATTTTGTTATCGTAATAAGTCTTCGATTTTTCTTTTGATTTCAAGATGTTGTTACGTGCCTGTTCTTGAGTTATGTTAAGTTTGAGTTTTAGGTTGCCTATGTAATCGTCATATGAATATTTAAATTCGGGTCTGCTAGTTATAGAGCTTGGCAAAAATGGTTTGGATCCAAATAATAGTTCATATGGTGTATAGTTAGTAGAAGAGTGAGTATGTGTATTGTAAGCGAACATTGCAAAAGGTATAAATTCGTCCCAGTTGTTTTGTTTGTCGTTAATGTAGTGTTTTAAATAATCTTTCAAAGTAAGGTGTGAACGCTCCAAAGCGCCATTAGATTCAGGGTGGTAGGGTGTGCTTGTGACATGCTTAGTTTTAAATAATTTAGTGGACATAAAATCAGTACCTTGATCAGATAAAATAGTTTTGGGAATACCGAATAAAGTTATAAATTTGCATAATTCATTTGATACTGTTATTGCTTCATGATTCGGTATAGGAATGGCATACGAATATTTCGTTAAATCGTCTTGCATCGTAAGGAGAAATCTAGATCCGTTTTCCGTAATTGGAAGAGGTCCAACTATATCAATAGCAAGTTTTTCGAAAGGCTTTTCGCTAGTTGTTGTTATCATCATAGGAGCTTTACTACTGGGTTTGAAATTTGTTTAGTTTATTTGACAAGAAGGACATTTTTTTATATATTTTTTTATGTCAGTTTTCATGTTCTGCCATTTATAACGTTCTTTTATCCTTTTATATGTTCTTGTAAAACCTGAATGTCCTGCTAGTTTTGAATCGTGATTTTCTTTTAGAATTGCGGAAATTTCCTCTTTTGAACTAATAATAATTTTTTCTGAACTAATAACACATATTTTTATATTCGTGTCCTTGAAAAGATAGTGTATCATTTCAAAATACATTGATTGTTTTAAATTTGGAGAATTTTTCGTTATGTCAGGTAAATAGAAGTATTTTATATTATCTCTGATTAGTTCAGTACGTAAGTTCCGGAGTGAATAAAAAACGTCTTTATAAGAAATATTTTCAAAATGAAAAGTCTTCACGAACATTAAATAGGATTTTTTATTGTTATTTTGTAACTTATAAGTTGAATATAATTCAAAGTTTGATTTTATGCTATCGTTGAAATCGAATTTGTTTTTTATGGACTCTGAAAACTGATTACTTTCGTCCATATCAGTAGAGAAATAAACTGCGTTTGGAAAAAAATCGAATAGATTTCCATTTTTTATTTCAAGTTGCGGATTGATATCTAAAGTTTTGTAATGATATTCTATAAAATTTTCAAAGGTATCATTTTTAGAAATAATGTTGATATAAAACGATGGCTTATTATATAGGTAATCAAATGGGAAAGTAACGGTATAAATATGATAAATGCCTGTATATTTGCAGCAAAACCGTCTTACTTATTGGTCTCCAAGAAAACATTATTATTATTACTCAAGACATGATTGGATAAGATTAAGATCTCAAATGTCACGCGTCGTCACACAGCTAGATAAGCCCGCCGACTGGCCCGACTTTGCCTCATTTGATTTTCTATTTTTAGTCGGCTTGTCACCATATTGTTGAGTAATCTTTACTTAGCGACTGGTAGTACAGTATAAGTTTAGTTATTGCACGCCTCTGTGGCCCAATGGATAAGGCATCGGCCTCCTAAGCCGAGGATTGTGGGTTCGAGTCCCACCAGAGGTACTATAATTTTTTCAGAGTGGTAGTACCGGTATTTGAGCTTATTTCGTGATTTAAACAGAAATTCAGGCACTATTTTTTTTGCTTAAATTTATGAGTAAAATTTTTATGTTCCATAAAACCAAAGTCTACAAAACAATCTTGATACACAATACAGGGTGTCC